TTGCGGCACTGACGTTCATGCTTTCCTGTATGATCTCGCCCAGCCCGGCGCAGTTATGGGGCACGAATATACCGGCGCCATCGTAGATGTTGGATCCAACGTGACCCGGTGGAAAACCGGTGACCGCGTGGTTGGCGGCGGCGGTCACCCCCCTCCCGGGATGGGTTCAGCGACCCGGATCAATCCGCGATTCAATTACCGCACCATGGGGTTCCAGCATAGTGCGCGTCCTCGTGGGTACGCTGAGTATGTCCTGTTGGACGAATGGGAGCCGACGCCGGTACCCGACGATGTAACCGACGAACAGGCCGCGCTGTGTGAACCCTGCGCTGTAACCGTCCATGCCGTTAGGTTGTCAGACATCAAGCTGGGCGACAGTGTGGTCGTGCTGGGCGCCGGACCCATCGGATTGCTGTGCATGCAAACTGCCCGGGCCGCCGGCGCGACCACCGTAATCGTGTCGGAACCGGCGCCAGTTCGTGCCGAGGCAGCCCTACGGCTGGGCGCCGATGCCGTTTTCAGTCCCATCGACGATGACCTCGACGCCCGTGTCGTGGAGCTAACGGAAGGAATCGGGCCACAGGTGGTGTTCGAGTGCGCGGCTGCTCCGTCCACGTTGAGCAGGCGCTGGACCTGTCGGCCCGCGGCGGGCAGGTGGTGATGATAGCCATCGCCTGGGAACCCACGCCGGTGATGCCGCCGAACTGGATGGCGCGCGAGGTGCGAGTACAGGCGTCGTTCGGCACGTTGCCCGAAGACTGGCGCATCGCCCTGGAGCTCATGCGCACTGGCCGAGTTTCCGTCGACCACATGTTGAGCGCCACCAACTTTGTACCGTTGGAAGGCATTCAGGGCGCTTTCGAGGCGTTGTGCCATCCCACCACCGAACTGCAAATGGTAGTAGCGCTTTAACTTTCGCACACCTGCCTCACACGTCAGCAGCGGGTATCAAGCTGCGATGACGGGAGCACCATCAACTTGCGTTGCCGGATTCGACTGGGTCTGCGCTGGGCCGCTTCGACTGCCCTGGTAGTTCTTCAGTTGGCCAGTGGGGTGAGGAGCCAATCCGCCAACAGATGGTGGCAGTGGAAACTTGCCGGGTTTAAGGGCTACTCAAGTGCCACCATCGACCGCTATCCCGGCGCCAGTCCCCACGGCCACCATGGCCGCAACTCCTGTCTTGGCGCCGACGCCGGTCCCAACTCCCACCGGCGTCCTGATGACCCTTTCCGGATGGGGCCGTTTGAGCGACGTAGCCTGGATACCGTAGGTGAGCGAACGGGATAGGCTCCAATGAAGAATCATCCCGGTTTGCTCTCGCCCGTTTTAGATGCTGTTTCACCGCAAGCGCAGGCCTCCTCGTCGAGCTAGCCGTGGGTGGCTGACGGATTGAATATAGAAGAGCAAACCGTTTTCCAGTGGGTGGTACATCTACACCGACAAGACCGAGCGGGATTCGCGGACGAGCTACTTAACATTTCGTTGCTTGACACCATCGAGTCAGCCGACGGAGTGGCGATACAGTCACTATATTGGCTGGCGGGGGATCCGAGCCAGTATCGCGCGGTGACGGCTCATCCCACATTGGTGGACGGTATTACGGATCACGATGCGAAAGTCGTAGTGGTATTGCACGGCGTCAACCGGAATAATCCCCTCATGCGTGCGCGCTTCAATCTGTCATAGCGCGGAGCACAGAGACGCGGCAATCTAGCTGAGGCCGAACACACGTCGACGAACCGCAGTCGCTACGGCAACGAGATTGCCAACCCCCGCATCGAGTACGGGGTCGCAATGACAAAGTGGGTACGCGAGAGTCCTAGCTGCCTGTTGACTGAGAGATCAACAGTGGTTGTTGATTGGCCAGTCAACCGGGGGACTCATGCCCAACCGGGTGGAAGGCCGAGGTTCCGATACAACTCCCTTGCCGCCCGCGCAACCCCAACCTATAATCAACGGCACTGGTTGCGCCGGTTGTTATCACCAGACGAACCATTCTTGCGACACACCAATTGCCGGTCGGTCGGCCCGACGCAGGAGGTCATTTTGACTACTATCTCCCGCAGCCCCAGAGCTTTGCTGAAACATCGCAGCCGCGACATCACGGAAGGCGCGGAAAGGGCGCCGGCCCGCGCGATGCTGATGGCCATGGGTCTGACCGCCGATGACATTCAAAAACCCTTCGTCGCCGTCGCCAATCTGGCCAGCGACGTGACTCCCTGCAACGTCCACCTCGACCGCTTCGCCGCCGCTGTCAAGGAGGGAATCAGGCTCGGCAACGGCACCCCGTTCCAGTTTGGTACCATCACCGTCAGCGACGGTATCTCCATGGGAACCGAGGGGATGAAGGCTTCCCTGGTGAGTCGGGAAGTGATTGCTGACTCCATTGAGACGGTGGCGTTCGGCGAACGGATGGACGGCCTGGTGACCGTAGCCGGCTGCGACAAGAACATGCCCGGCTGTATGATGGCTATCGCCCGCCTGAACATACCTGCGGTTTTCGTTTACGGGGGCAGCATCCTGCCCGGCCAGTGGAACGGCAAGGACGTCAACATCCAGGACGTGTTCGAAGCGGTGGGGCGCCTACGCCGCCGGCCGCATGACCAGAGAAGAGCTGACTGAACTGGAGTGCCACGCCTGCCCCGGCGAGGGTTCCTGCGCCGGCCTGTTCACCGCCAATACCATGTCCACCGCCATCGAAGTGATGGGCATGTCTCTACCTGGCGATGCCTCGCTCACGGCTGTTGATCCCCGCAAGACGGACGAAGCCCGCCGGGCTGGTGAAACCGTAATGCGTATGCTGGAGGAAGGAATCCGCCCGCGAGACATTCTCACCAGGGAGGCCTTTGAAAACGCCATCACCGTGGTGGTTGCCATGGGAGGCTCCACCAACGCCGTGTTGCACCTCATGGCCATCGCGCGGGAGGCCGAAGTCAGCCTGTCGCTGGAAGATTTCGACCGCATTAGCCGCAACACTCCGTACATCGCCGACATGAAACCAGGCGGCCGCTACGTCATGGCAGACCTCAGTCGTTACGGCGGGGTGGCCCTGATCGGAAAGCGCCTGCTCGATGCTGGCCTGCTCCACGGCGACGCAATGACCGTAAATGGAAAGACCCTGGCCGAAAATATCAACGATACGCCCATCATCGAGGACCAGCCGGTCATCTACCACCCCGACCAACCTCGCAGTCCCACCGGCGGATTGGCGATCCTGCGTGGCAATCTGGCTCCCGACGGCGCTGTCATCAAGGTCGCCGGCCATCAGGAACGCGTATACGAAGGACCCGCCCGGGTGTTCGAGCAGGAGGAACTCGCGTTCCAGGCTATACAGCGCGGCGAAATCAAAGAAGGCGACATTGTCGTCATCCGCTACGAGGGGCCAAAAGGCGGCCCTGGTATGCGGGAAATGCTTGCCGTTACCGGCGCCCTCATCGGTCAGGGTCTCGGTGACAGCGTCGCCCTGGTAACCGATGGAAGGTTTTCCGGCGCTTCCCACGGGCCGATGGTGGGCCACGTTGCCCCCGAAGCAATGGTGGGCGGACCCATCGGGTTGCTCCAAGAGGGCGACATAATCACCCTCGACATTCCCGGCCGTCGCCTCGATGCCAAACTCAGTGAGGAAGAATTCTCGGACCGTCGCGCCGCCTGGCGGCCGATCGAACCGAAATACACCACCGGCGTCCTGGCCAAGTACGCCAAGCTGGTCTCCTCCGCCTCCGAAGGCGCGGTAACCGGTTAGGTATATTGCCCGACAACGGCAGGAGGTTCACATGCCCACTGCTCCAAATCGTGTTCTGCTGGAACACAAAGGTTCGCTGGCGGTCATTCGGCTGAACCGCCCTGAGGCCAGGAACGCGCTGTCGCCGGGGATGGTGGCCGAGCTCGGCGAAGCGGTCGCAGCGTGTCGGGCTGGGGATGTCAGGGCTGTCCTGCTCACCGGTGTCGACGGAGCGTTCTGCGCTGGCGCCGACGTGCGGGATTTCACCGCGCAACTCGACGAAGGCGGTCCCGAAGCTCTTTCAGCCCACTTGCGTCAGCTCGCCGATGATCTGCACCGCGAGGTGATCATGGGCATACGCCGCCCTGGACAAGCCGGTTGTGGCGGCCGTGAACGGCGTTGCAGCCGGCGCCGGTTTCAGCCTGGCCCTCGCCTGCGATATGCGCATTGCGTCAACCGACGCCCGGTTCCTGTTGGCCTACGCCAATATCGGCTGCACCGCGGATGGCGGGTCCACCTACATGCTGCCGCGCATCGTCGGCCAAGGTCGCGCGATGGATATCTACCTGGCGCGACAACCCATCGGAGCCCAATACGCGTTGGACCTGGGTCTCGTCAGCCAGGTATTCGAACCCGCCCACTTCGAACGGCACGCCATGGAGACTGCCGACCGGCTGGCCCACGGACCTACCCGCGCGTACGGCAGGGTCAAAGCCCTGTTCGATAGCAGTTGGGATTCTGACCTGGCAACACAACTGGATTCTGAAACCGACGCTATCGCCAACATCGGATTGACGCGCGACTTCCAGGAAGGAATTAGGGCATTTTCGCAAAAGCGCCCGGCGTGGTTCCAGGGCGTGTAATCCGTTCGAGTCGGGGTTGCCGGCGGGCGATGTCGAGTTCCCCTTGCCGCCCCGTATCAGCGTCCCTATACTGACGGTATCCTCAACTACTACGGACGAAGACAGCTGAAATCAGCGAGGAGGCTCGACATGCCGAAAGATAAGGTGGAAGTTTTCTGGTTTTCTGAGCAACCATTCGCACCCATAACCAATGAAGATGTTGCCCAGTATGAATCGGGCCGCTTGGGGTTCCCTAACACTTACTTCGATCCTGAAAAGGCCCACGTACTTTACAATCAGTACCATGAACAGTATGCCTGGGCCGACGAAAATGGCTTCGATGGCATCATGTCCAACGAGCACCATTCGTCCTATTGGTGCATGAAACCTGCCGTCAATATTGACGCCGCGGTTATCGCCAAAGTAACCCGCAAGGCTAAAATCGCAATCCTAGGCAACGTGATCGCCGTCAATGATCCCATCCGCATGGCGGAAGAGATTGCCATGTTGGACTGTATCTCGGGTGGCCGGATCATCTCCGGATTCGTGCGCGGCACGGCGGTTGAAACTCTGCAGGGTGGAATCGCTCCGCCACAGAACCGGGACCGATTCGAAGAAGCCCACGACCTCATCATCAAGTGCTGGACCGAGCCTGGTCCTTTCCGCTACGAAGGCGAGTATTACCATTACCGAGCGGTGAACCCGTGGGTGCTCCCGATGCAAAAACCCCACCCACCCATCTGGTTCCCCGGATTCAGCAGCCCGGAGAGCGTAATGTGGGCGGCTCGCCACCAGCATCCCTACATGAACCTGGGTTCTCTGTTGGAACACACCCACCGCCTGCGCGACGTGTATATCGAAACCGCCCGTGAAACCGGATTCGAACCGGGCCCTGAACACTTCGGTTATCTGCTCAGGATTTTCTGCGCCGACACCGACGAGAAAGCTCAGGAAATTGGTCGCGAATTCTTGTGGACTCAGGAACATCGCAATCGCGGGCCCCGCGAGCACAACGATCCTCCCGGGGTACCAGTCGCGGGAGGCGGTCGATATCCAGCGCACCCTACCAGGAGCCGGCGGGTTTGGTCGCGTGATGACCTACGAAGAGTTGCAGGATGCCAACAACATTATCGTAGGCAGCCCTGACACCGTCCGGGAAAAGTTGTCGATGATTATTGACCGGCTCAACCCCGGCTACCTGCACGTCTACGGTAACGAGGGTGCGATGGACCACGCCGACGTGATGCGTTCCATCGAATTGATTGGCAAAGAGGTTATACCTGCCCTGCACGAAATCCCGTTGGTGGACCATTACTGATCTGATGTTGGGTGCAAACTCCGGCATATCCGGGCCAGCAATTTGATCATACCGCAGCGACAAGCGTTTATCGGCGTCGGCACCATGGGCAGCTTGATGGCCGGATGCCTACTGGACGCTGGTATCCATTTGACTGTCCACGATTTGCGAAGCTCGGCGGCGGAATCATTGCTGGAGCGCGGCGCATCCTGGGCGGATACGCCACGTCAGGCGGTTGACGGTTGCGGGATGGTTTGGGCGTCGCTACCCGGCCCTGATCAGGTGGTTTCGGCGTTGCTGGGCGACGAAACCGGTGCCCTCGTCGGCATGGCGAATGGCGCGGTGCTGGTGGACACCACCACCGACGATCCCGACGTCGCCCGGCGCGTCGCCGCCACGTGTCGGCAGAACGGTGTGGCGATGCTCGACGCGCCGGTCAGCGGCCGGCCGCCCAACATGACCATGATGGTCGGTGGCGACCGATCTGTTTTCGATCAGGTTTTTGCCGATCTTGAGAAAGTTGCGGCGCGAGTTTTTTATGTCGGTGAATCCGGCGCCGGATGTGCGGCCAAGCTGGCAACGCAATACATGGGATACACCAACCTGATCGCGGCGATACAGGGCATGCTGATTGGCAAGGCAGCCGGAATCGATCCGGCGGTGCTGGCTGAGATAGTTCCAGTCAGCGCCGGCGCCAGTAGGGCTTTCAACGCCATACCCAACGCCATCCTCGATGGTTCCTACCAGGCCGGCGGTACTCTGGACATCGTGGCCAAAGACGTTGCGTTGGCGTGCGCCCTGGCCGCACGATTGAACGTGCCAGCGACCACCGGCTCAGCGGCGGATGCGCTGTATCGGGCCGCTCAGGAACGTGGCTGGGGCAGCGATGGCTACCCGGTGGTGGCCCGTATCCTGGAGGAACTGGCGGGGCAGAGTTTGAACGAAAGTTAAACCAGGAGTTCTGCGGATTTAGCGCCAGTGCGTTGTGTTACCATGCTGGCATCTGTCGTTTGGGCAATCACCAACGGAGAATCACGATGGCAATTACCTTTCAACCCAGTACATTCAGTGGCATGGTGGACCGGGAAAACGGTCTCGTCAGCCGCGAAATCTTCGTAAACTCTGACATATACGCCGAAGAGCAGGAACGCATTTTCACCCGGGCCTGGCTGTTCGTCGGCCATGAAAGCCAGGTATCCAAACCCGGCGATTTCTTTATCTCATCCATGGGCGAAGAGTCAGTAATTCTGTGCCGTGACCGGCAGGGCGAGGTGCACGTTTTTCTCAATTCCTGCACCCATCGCGGGATGAAGGTTTGCCGGTACGACGAGGGCAATACCCCCATATTTTCCTGCCCCTATCACGGTTGGAGTTTCGCCACCGATGGCGCTCTGGTCGGCGTGCCTTACTACAAGGATGCCTACCACGAGGAGCTGGACAAATCCCAATGGGGTCTGCTTCGGGTGCCCCGCATGACGAACTACAAAGGTGGCATCTGGGCCAGTTGGGATCCCCAGGCTCCAGACTTCCTCGAGTACATCGGCGAATTCCGCACCTATCTTGATATCCTTTTTGACGGTTGGGACGGCTCGGAAGGCGGCACCGAAATTATTGGCGGTATCGAAAAGTGGCTAGTTCCTTCCAACTGGAAATTCCCGGCCGAGAACTTCATCGGCGACCGCTACCACAACATCAGCCATCGGTCCGTCGACCTCGTGGGCATCGGCCCATCTGGTCAGGGTCGTCGTGATAACAGCGAGCGGGAGGGAGCCAAGTCGCTGGACGTGTCCTTCCCGGAGCGCGGCCACGGGACGGTCATCTTCCTGAGACCGGAAGAGGCTCAACCGGTTCGGTCCTACCAGAACGATCCGATCGTCGCTGAATATTTCCACGCCTGTGAAATTGCCCGCAAAGAGCGACAGGGCCAGTTGTGGCGCATCATGGGGGGACCGGGCACGATCTTTCCTAATATGTCCTACCTACCGCGCCAGCCCCGCAGCATAGCGGTTTGGCATCCCCGTGGACCCGACCAGACCGAGGTTTGGCGCTGGTACCTGGTGGACAGCACAGCTCCACCCGAAGTCAAAGAATTCCTGCGCCAGTACTACATCCGCTATTCGGGACCCAGCGGATTGACCGAGCAGGACGATATGGAAAACTGGAACTACGCCCATGCTGCCAGCCGCGGCGCCATGGCGCGCCGACGTTCGTACAACTATCAGATGGGTATGGGTTACGCCGTGGACGATTTCGAGGACGGCGGCTTGCATCTGCCAGGCACGGTGCTCGATACGACCAAAGCCCGTGCCGGCGAGCAGAATCAGCGGACGTTCTACTCCCGTTGGGCTGACTTCATGGCCGCTCGCGACTGGGACGAACTGGCTGGGTGGCGCCACGGCAACGGTGCCAACGGGTCCGGTTCCAGGTAGGTCAAAGCATGGTTGCTACCAACGATGCTGTCGCCCTGCTACTGTTGCGGCAGGAGGTCGAAGCCTTTCTTTATCACGAAGCCAACCTGCTGGACGAACGCCGGTACGACGAATGGCTGGAATTGCTCGCCGCCGATGATCCGTTATTGGGTGCCCCTGCGGCGCAATGTGAAGTTCGGCGAACTGGAACGGGAGTTCACCCGCCAGGGCCAGGACATCAACTGGTTCGACGAAGGGAAGGAAACGCTGACGCAGCGGGTCAACCAGATTCAGACCGGCGTGCATTGGGCCGAAGAACCACTTTCCAGACTGGCACACCTGGTTACCAACGTAGAGATTATTGATGCTCAACCCGATGCGGCCTCGGCCGACGAGGTTTCAATACGGTGCCGTTTCATCATCTACCGCAATCGCGTGGCTACCGAAACCGACATCCTGGTCGGGCGGCGCGAAGACACCCTCCGGCGGGAAGATGGACAGTTGCGGATCAGTAGTCGCAAGGTCGTGCTCGATCAGAATGTCCTGCTGGCCAAAAATCTGACTTTCTTCTTCTAAAGGCGTCATTGCAGGGTAATGGCCGAGACCGCTACGAACTGACAATCCGGCGGATCTGAGCCATCCCCCATTCAGGTCTCTCCATGAACTCCGATCCGCGATCTCAACCCAACATGGTGCTTCATGGCTGACATTGTAAACTTGATGGACATCGAAACCGGTCAGGCGGTCCGGCTTAGCAACAACGCAACCGGCGAAGTCGTTTCCAATCCCAGAGACGGCGTCTGGCTGTTCGTGCGTTACCTTTCCAATCCAGATGATCCCGATCAGGTGGGTGAGGAAGACATGGTGTTCGCACAGGATATAGCGGAAGTTTTGGCCCAGTGAATCGAGATGTCCACCCCCTCTGAAGCCACCGACGCGCTGATCACACCCCGGCCAATCGGAAATCATCGCCGCACTGCGTGCAGGATACCGCGCCATCGATGACGGCTTTGGATTCTACGCCGGTTTCAACGGGTGGCTGGAATCGTTGGGGTACGTAAAACGCGACGATTTGCGATGCACCTGCCCCGATGCTGGCGACCACGGGCACCTGCCCGAATGCCGCTGGACACGTTCAGATAACGAATAACCAACAACGGAGATAGATCGATATGTCCCAGGAATTGGTAGACCGCATGGAGATGGTGTGGCGTTCCATTTCGGAATTGTGCGCCGGCCTGTCCGACCAGCAGTGGGCAATCGGCACTGAATGCCCCGGATGGTCGGTGCAGGATCAGGTTTCCCACCTGGTGGGCAGCGAATGCCGTCTGATGGGACGGCCGGCTCCCGCACACGAACCGGCTGATACTTCCCACGTCCGCAATGACGTCGGTCAGAGCAACGAGGTTCTGGTGGATTATCGCCGTCAATTCGCGGGCGCCGATGTTCTGGCGGAATTACGCGAAATCACCGGCGAACGTTTGGACGTGCTGCGCGCCATGACCGACGACGATTTCGCCTCCGAAACCGGCAATCCGCTCGGTCGCGGTCCGTACTCCGACCTGCTTCGCATCCGGATCTATGATGCCTGGGTGCACGAGCAGGACATCCGGCGGGCTCTGGGCATGCCGGGTCACCTGTCCGGTCCTGTCGCCGAGCACGCCTACGACCGTACCGAAATGGCCATGCCTTTCGTCGTGGGTCGGAAAGTGAAACCCGATGATGGCGCCACGGTAGCGTTCGAAATCACCGGCGAAGTCGGCGGAACCGTTGCCCTCAGCATGGTTGACGGCAGAGCGACGCGGCTGGATGTCGCCCCGGTTGCGCCTACGGTGCAGCTGACCATGGGTCTCGAGACGTTCAATGCCCTGGGAACCGGACGGTGGGACGCTGCCAAAGCGTTGGCTGACGGGTCGGTAACCATCGCCGGCGACACCGAGTTGGGCGAGCGTATCGTCAGCGAAATGAACTTCATGATCTGAGCTGGTAGTAACGTGGCTTCTCCCCGGGCGCCATCGACGGCGCCCCTTTTGTATTCGTACCGGACACGAACGGAACGCACCAACAGATGACACTACCGGGCGGCGGTGGTAGGCTGTGATTACTGGTCAGATTGGTAAGTTGGCCGCTCGGCGCTCTTCGGCGCCCCGGCCCGGTCGCTGGAAGGAGAATAGTAATGGAGATTGGCGTTTCGGTTCCCATCGTGGAAATTGGTGATGACTTCGGCGCGCTTCGAGACTACATTCAGGCTGCCGAAGATTTGGGATACTCCCATGTACGCATTCTTGACCACGTGTTGGGCGCGGTGTCGGAAAAACACCCCGAGGTGCCAAACTTCCCCTATTCCCACGAGTCCTACATCCACGAACCCTTTACGCTGATGGCCTATCTTGCCGCCGTAACCAAGAGCATCGGATTGACGACCGGTATCCTGATCCTGCCTCAGCGTCAAACTGCACTGGTAGCGAAACAGGCCGCGGAAGTCGACCTGCTTTCCGGCGGGCGGCTGCGGCTGGGTATCGGCGTGGGTTGGAACTCGGTGGAATATGAAGCGTTGGGCGTCGATTTCGCGTCCCGGGGCAGCCGATGCGACGAGCAGATCGAAGTTTTGCGCCGGTTGTGGACCGAGGATGTCATCGATTTCCATGGCAAGTATCACGACATCACCCATGCCGGCATCAATCCCGCCCCGGTGCAGCGTCCCATCCCTATCTGGGTGGGCGCAGGACGGGGCAACGCGCCCACGCCGCCCAACGCAGCGATTCGACGCATCGGCAGGCTGGCCGACGGATATTTCCCAATGTTCGCTCCGGACTCTGGCGGGCAGGCAATCCTGGACCGCATCCGGCAACAAGCTCAATCGGTTGGCAGAGACCCGTCGGAAATCGGTTTCGAGGGCCGTATCACCATCACCGCCGATAACAACCCGGAGGACTGGCTCACCGAACTGCGTTCTTGGGAAGGCTGGGAGCAACTCACATCGCTGCCGGGTTGCGAGGCGGCCAATCTCCCGATGAACACATCGACGCGATCCGCCGTCTCAAGGATGCAATCGGCTAACCCGGTGGTGTGAGACCCATGCGCGAACACAGGACGATGTCGCCACGTCACTCAGGGGGGAGAGCCGGGAGCGCCCGCCCCCGAGGCAGGATGCCGGGCCTCGTCCGGCGCATCTCAGCGGCGTTCTATCCCTACTGGCCGCGAGTGCTGGCCATTGGTCTGCTGATCCTGGTCACCGCCGGCCTGGGGGTGGTGAACCCGGTGTTGATCCAGGTCATGTTTGACTCCGCTCTCTTCGTGCCGGGCGGACCCAACATGGACCTGGTTTGGAACATCGCCGCGGTGATGGGTGGCGTTGTCGTCGTAACCGGCAGCCTTGGGGTATTACAAACCTGGCTCACGCAGCAAATCGGCCAGCGGGTCATGAGAGACCTGCGTGATCGTCTTTACTCGCATCTGCAATCTCTATCGCTGGGCTTCTTCACATCCACGCGAACCGGAGAAATCCAGAGTCGTGTAGCCAACGATGTTGCCGGGATTCGCGTGGTCGTAACCGGAACCGTAAGCAACATCCTTTCCAACATCGTCATCCTGGTCAGTACCCTGATCGCCATGTTCGTGCTGTCGTGGGAGTTGACCCTGGTGGCGGCGGGCATAACACCTGTTTTTGCCGTGTTCAGTTACTGGGTCGGTAAGCGACGGCGCGCGATGTCGTCGCTGGTCCAGGAGTCCACGGCGGAGATGACGGCGATCACCCAGGAAACCCTGTCGGTATCGGGCGTCATGCTGACGCGGCTGTTCGGAGCCCAACAGCGCGAAATTGAGCGCTTTCGGCAACAGAATGTCCGTTTGTCAGACCTGGAGATCCGCCGGGAGATGACCGGCCAGACGATTTGGGCCGGCATCCAGATATTCTTCTCCCTGTCTCCCGTAGTAATTTACGTACTGGCGGGATACCTGCTTTACGGTTCCTTCGGACCGTCCGGCGTGTCGGCCGGCACGATAGTCGCATTCACCACTCTGCAAACCCGCCTCTATTTCCCCATCAGCACTTTGTTGCGCACCTCTGTTGAATTGCAATCCTCTCTCGCATTGTTTGAGCGCATCTTCAGTTACCTGGACATTCGTCCTGAAATCGTAGACGCGCCGGACGCCATCGAGTTTCCAGCCGATCGGGTTGCCGGGGCGGTGTCGTTTCAGAATGTGCGGGTGAATTACAAGTCGCCGTTGCAAACCGAGGACGGTGAGGACGACGAGACCAATGAACCTGAAACAGCCTGGGCGCTGGACGGTGTCAGTTTCGAAGTCAAGCCGGGCCAGTTGGCCGCGTTGGTGGGCCCCAGCGGAGCCGGCAAAACGACCATTTCCTACCTCATTCCACGCCTGTACGACGCTACTTCGGGCCTGGTCACCATCGACGGCGTCGACGTGCGACGTATCACGTTGGAAAGCCTTGCCGGCATGGTGGGCTATGTGTCCCAGGAGAGCTACCTGTTCCACGCATCCATTCGCGAGAACCTCACCTACGGCAATCCCGACGCTACCGACGCTGAGATGCACGCCGCGGCGCAGGCAGCCTACATCCACGAACGCATCATGCAGTTCCCGGGCGGTTATGAAACCGTGGTAGGCGAACGTGGATACCGGTTATCAGGAGGCGAGCGCCAACGTCTGTCAATCGCTCGCGTGATCCTGCACCATCCCCGCCTCATGATCCTGGACGAGGCAACATCAGCATTGGACACCGCAAGCGAGCGTTACGTTCAGGCAGCGTTGGAGCCGCTCATGAAGGGCCGAACCACCATCGCCATTGCCCACCGGCTTTCAACCATCTTGGCCGCCGACATCATATACGTGGTCGACAAAGGCCGAATCGTCGAGCGCGGCACCCATTCCGAACTATTGGCACAGCGAGGCTTGTACGCCGAGCTATACGAACTGCAGTACGAGAGCGGCGGCGTGGAGTGCATCTGTGAGGATGGCGTGATGCTATCCAACGGAAACGTTCGATTGCCGGTATCGGTGTAAGCATCGCTCGAAAAACCGCAAGAACAATGACCTGAGGGGTTTTATGAGTCAGTCCCAGAATTCCGGGCAGATCAGGCTGCGTGTTGCATTTCGCAACATGTTCTACACCACCATTTATGTGGCAGTCGAAGGTGGTTTTCTGGCCGATGAGGGGCTGGATGTTGATTTCGCGCATATCCCTACCGGTCAGGCCAGCACCGATCTGCTGAAGGCTGGTAGCATCGATATCTCCCAGAGCGGCATCAGCCGCAGCCTGATGGACCTGGATGCCGGGTAGCGACGATCCACCGTTGCACATCGCGGAGATCAACCAAAGGGACGGGTTCTTCCTGCTCTCCCGTCAACCCATCGATAACTGGCAGTGGTCGCAGCTGGTCGGCTCCACGTTGATACCGGTCGGTTTTACACCGGTGCCATTCATGACACTGAAAGCTGCGATGCGCAACCACGGTGTGGACCCTGACGATGTGGATCTGCTCGACGGCCTGCCCGCTGAGGAGATGCTGTCGAAGTTTCGCAACGGCGATGCCACCTACCTGCAGGTGCCCTGTCCGTTTGCTGAAGAGTTGATACGCGAAGGCACCGGTCACCTGGTCTCCACGCTGGGAGAGGAAAGCGGGTATATTTGCTACAGCAGTTTTGCGGCAACTCCTTCTTATATCGCCAACAATCCGGAGACTGTGCAACGGTTCGTTCGTGGGTATTACCACGCGCAGCGTTGGGTGGCCGACAACGAGGCCGCGGCTGTGGCCGACCGTATTTCGGGGGTTTTTCCGGACTATGAGCGGCAGATTCTTGTTGGCAGCGTCGAACGCTACAAGACCGTGGGTGTCTGGGCAACCGATCCTCTCATCGGCCGCGATGGACACGACCGGATGCGGGACGCCCTGATCGCTGGCGGATTGGTGCGGGGCAGCCATCCCTACGAAAAGATAGTGCGTCCCGAATTCGCGCAGCGGGCAATCGCTGAACTGGCCTGACCACGGGCGAGCCAATCTCTGAAGCTTACGGTGTTGAATCGAAACAGTCGGGAGGCGAAACCATGAGATTAGAGGGCAAGGTCGCAATCATCACCGGCGGCGCGCGCGGGCAGGGCGCTACCGAGGCCAGAATGTTTGCACAGGAAGGCGCCCGTGTAGTCATCGGTGATATTCGGGATGAACAGGGAATGCAGGTGGAAGCCGAAATCCGCGAGCTCGGCGGTGAGGCAGTTTATTTGCACCTAGACGTCACCAGCGCCGACGACTGGCAGCAAGCCGTTGACAACGCCGAGCAGCGTTTCGGCAAGGTCGATGTGTTGGTAAATAACGCTGCCATCGTTTTGCGCAAGAACATCGAGGAAACCACCGCAGATGATTGGGACAACATAATGGAGATCAACGCCAAGGGTGTTTTCCTGGGAACCAAAGCCGTCATACCAGCCATGCGAAGGGCCGGCGGTGGGAGCATCATCAACATCTCGTCGATCAGCGGTCTGGTCGCCGTTGGGCCGCCGGCCTACATTGCGACCAAGGGCGCGGTCCGGTTGTTTACCAAATCCACGGCCATCCAGTACGCAGCCGAAAACATCCGGGCCAACTCAATCCACCCCGGCAGCGTGGATACGGATATGCGCCGTGAGGGAATGGGCACTACGACGCCCGAAGAGATTCAGGAGCGCATTGACCAGATTCCCCTGGGCCGCGTTGGCACCACCGAAGACATCGCTTACGGCGTGATGTTCCTGGCATCCGATGAGTCGTCATTC